CTGTGCCGCGTGAAGTGCAGAATCGGCTGCAACTGTTGCTCCGAAATTTTCGCCGATGAACATTGTGCCAGAAACAGTAGTCACCAAAGCCGAAACAGTCTGGTCGTAGGCGGCCTTTTCCGAACTTTTTGGTGGTTTGAAGAACAACTTCCGTCCCACACTGTGCCGCTCTGCCGAAAAACGCCCACGACGCACCCTCCTGCAGCAACACCTGCCGCACCCGGGCGGGACGACGATAGACCCCCGCTTTCTTCGGGCAGTCGCCACGCCGCCTCTCCTCGCCGTCGGTTTTTCCGACGCAAATCACACATTGCGCCTGGTTGCTCGACCAGCAGTCGCTTTCTACGTGCTGCTACCCGAAATCTTCGCGCACAGTGACGACGCGCCACTTGCCGAAGACTTCCACTAGCTCATGCGCAACGTGACAAAGACGCCCATCGCCACTTGCCGCACGCAGCTAGCTCCGTAATTGTCGCGCGCAGCTGTCAACCACGTATCGACGCAACTCGCACGACGATCTTGTTTCCGACAACTTCGGACGTGCGCCGACGACGAGCCTGCCGACGTCAGCTGCTACACAGCATTAACTCCGAAATTGCCGAAAACGACTATTGTTACTCACGCATTAATTACGACGATAGCAAAAGCTGTCCGCCACCCGGGGGGAGGGAGGCCACGGTCCATCTCGACCGTCGAGGGCAAGGGTCCGTCGGTGCCGCAGGAGCGCCTTGAAATTCTACCCATTCTCCTGGCCGCTAGGAGCAACTACCCATTCTCCTGGCCGGCTCTTGCGCTGCTCCTGTCACCACGGCATCCTTCCCTGTCCCCCCCTCGAGGGGTATTACACTCTAAAAAACAGGGAAGCTAGGAAAGTAGCTCTGATACCAAGTGTTATGAGTTTTTACTAGACAGAGTGGGCGGAAGACTTTATAAAGAAGGCGTGATTCCAGAATGACGAAACAATGAAGAAAGCGAGAATATATAGGGCGAAAACTAGCTAGGCGAGAACCTCTAGATGTGCGTGGCTCGGAAATGTCGCGATTGGTGAGGGGCGACTCGGCAGTGGTTCGGGCCGAAGTGTAGGCCGAACCTTGAGAGTGCCCCGAAGTGCTCGGGGCTGTACGCCCTAGGAGCAGACTCCGTAATGAATAAGTCATATCGTCGTCGTCAACAATTAAGAAGTATTGCTACAGAAGGGGGGAGAGGCGACAACTGTTTTTCACCACTGCCCGGAGGTTTTCGGCGAGTCACGACAACATCGCCGAGGTAGCTGACGTCATCGACAGTTCAAGTTCAACTTTGAAAAAATACTTGCGAGGTCAGGGGGGAGAGCAGCAGCTGTTTTTCGCCTCTGCCCGGTACTTCTCGGCGAATATCGACAAAAACCTCGGCGAGTCTGGACAAGACAGCCAGGGGCGCCGACAGCTGGAACAATTACAGCGAGGCATTTCGCCACAGCAACAAGACAGACAGCAGCAATTTCAGGGTGGCAGTCACGGGAGATTCTGCAGTAGTAGTCGCGACTACAAGACAAGAAGATTGTTTTCTGCAGGAAAAAATATTTCCAAGGGTTTCGAGTCTCAACGCACAACGATTTTACCACTCAAGGGGCTTCGACGCGATTTACCCTGGCAGCAGTACGAGTCAGAATTTCGACATTTCGGCCACCGACAACAATTTCGACAGCACAGCGGCTGCGTTTTCAGGCGGGAGTTTATAACATTTGGTATTCTGTTCTATCCTCGGCCTCAGGGCGATTGTGGTTTTGTGCCCGCGCAGCTATGCACATGTCGGTGGGCAGCAGTTATCTTCAGGGGGGGGAGAAAGCGTGCTCACGCACTGTTCTCGGTAGATCTCTGACATTTCGGCAGTTATTTCTGACAGCTTCGTCTGAACATCCGGCACGACGGACGCTTGCGATGTCTTCATCGGCATCGACGACCCCCGATTCACTGACATCCGACAGCGTATCAGAACTTTCGCCAGCATCGCCAGCGTCAACACCGCACGATTTACATCGACGGCTTTCCTTCTTCGAAAGGTTTCAACTCGTCATTCGCCTTCAACCGCCCGTTCGACATCGGCAGTATCGAACGGCTGACATTCCAACTCTCTGAAATTCGCCTGGTCAACGCGCTCAGCCACGCGTCAACTCAAAAGTCAACACGCTTCCGCACCGTCAAATCGGTTTTCGACTGAGATCTGCAGTTTTTACGCTACTGCAAGACTCGCCTACGTATAAGGGCACCTTATTTAGAAGGTGGGAGAGTGTAATGAATATGACTTATTCATTACGGAGTCTGCTCCTAGGGCGTACAGCCCCGAGCACTTCGGGGCACTCTCAAGGTTCAGCCTACACTTCGGCCCGAACCACTGCCGAGTCGCCCCGCACCAATCGCGACACTTTCCGAGCCGCGCACATCTAAAGGTTCTCGCCTAGCTAGTTTTCGCCCTATATATTCTCGCTTCCTTCATTGTTTCGCCATTCTCTATTCGACATCTTTTTTATATAGTCTTCCGCGCACTCTGTCTAGTAAAACTCATAACACTTGGTATCAGAGCTACTTTCCTAGCTTCCCCGTTTTTTAGAGTGTAATACCCCTCGGGGGGGGGGGGGGGGGGGGGGGGGGGGGGGGGGGACAGGGAAGGATGCCTTGGTGACAGGAGCAGCGCAAGAGCCAGCCAGAATGGTTCGATTCTGTTACGTAGTTAGTATCTGGTGGTTTGATGAATTTTTGGATTCTGTTTACGTGGATATCCATAGTGATTTCGTCCATTGCCAAGGAGCATTTCTGGGCTCCCTCCACTGGTAAGGTAGTACAGCAACTTGTAATCTAATAGTCCAGAAAAAAACTCTCATACACAGTGTAGTTATTTGAATTTCTGCTTTTTGTATATATCACAGGCGTCTTGTAACGGGCTCGGCCAAGTCCGTCCCTCCCCTTCCCACACCGACCCCCGACTCAAGCGTGTGCGTCACGCCTAGCCAACCACCGCCAGTCTCATCGCGTCGCATCCTTTTGATTGCTCATCCTAGATCATTACAGAAATCGCACGGCTGTCCTTAATTCTGGAGCGTGAGCCTTTTGATCGCCATACTCTCCTGAGTCTAGCCGTCGATGCAGGTGACACGAGCGCGCACAGGTCAGAATGCGAAACGCCACGTGTACCAAGCCTGCCACGCTGCATGCTCTATCGGTCACACTGTGCGAGATCGATAGCTCAAATCGATCGTTCATAGATCAACTAGGTTCGTCACGCCTCGTGCATGCCAAATACAGATTCACTTTTCAACATACAGCCCATCCCATCAAGCCCCAAGCCCCATCAGATTCCATCAAACGCAACGCTGACTCGCACACAATTCAGTCGGTCTCCACGCCTCGTGCATGCTGTTTCCTTACCCCCTCACGCCTAGCCCGGGATTCTCACGCCTACTACCCCCACCCGAAGCTTGCTTCCCATGCCGCTCTCTCAGAAACCAGCGACTGTATGGCCGTCGATCACGCGGAAGGCGAAATGGCCTTGGATTTACCACATTTTGCGAGAAACTTTGCGAAAATCCCGCGAGACGGTAGCACGGCGTCATACGAACAGGTAATCCAGCCAGGAGTAACGCGAGGTCACCATCCCACTCGCTCCCTTTTCCACACATCCTGCATCCCTTGGCTCCTCAAGGTAGTTCTTCTCCAGGTAGTTCAGTCTGCCGTTTTCTCCCCGGGACAAAAACCCCTTGCTCTCATCGTGCGCTTATGTTTTTCCTTGTACTTTCGTTTGCTTTTTTTTTTTTCCATTTCTACTCTTGCTGCTGCCATCTCTGACGTGCCGTTCTCGCTGCTCAAGCTAGCTGCTGCTGGTTGCTCCTGTTTCCTCTCCTCATTCTAACGCTCGCTGCTGCTTCCTGCTCCATCTCGTTCTCCCTCGGTCTCTTGTTTCTCACGGTCGATGCTGCTCAGCCGATACCTAACTGACTGACGCCCATGGGTCGGACGGTGGGAGTGGTGGTGGCGGTAGCAGGGCTGGTAGCAGCTCTGCTTGCCACGTGGCTCACCAGATGGATGCTCGCGGTGGTTCCGAATGATGAATTGCACACCAGCAAGCACATGCAGACTGTATGTTACCGTCATATGCTTCTTGTTGCAACCCTTTGTACTCTTTGCCGGTTAAAAATATGTGTACACCCGATTCTACACCTGTCATGAGCTTCGTCTAAGCTTTACTTACACTTAAATATTCGACTTATGTCATGTCGTTCCAGCCTTTCAATACTCACCATCACCGCATCATGCACTAGCTTACGGTCTCTGGTGCAAGAAGCCAAGCCATTAACATCAATCAACCTTGATCCTATTGCCTCTGCAGCTCCCTCAGCTGGCAAATAGCTCTGCGCGAGCACCCGAGCCATTGGAGCATTCATTTATGATCACACCATGCGTTGTTCCAATTCCAACTCAACCTCCTATTGCCTCTTGCCCCTTGCAGCTCCCTCAACTGGCAAACATCTCTGCACGAGCACCCGAGCCTTTGGTACAAGAAGCCAAGCCTTTGTTGGGCCTTCCTGGTGTAAGTTGAAGCTGTGTTCAATGAATCAAGTGCTATATGATCATGGCTTATAAACATGATAGAAATGTATGTGAACTGTGTGGTTGGCCACGCTCCGCCCTCACCCTAACATCATGGCGTATACCATACATGATAGCGCATCATCTTCCATGATTTGGTTCATGGCAAGTAACCAATTATGCGTGGCAGAATTACTAAATGACTGACAGCCGATTTTGCCACTACGAGATCTGCCAATTTTGCCACTTCCTTTTCATTTTTTCACATGTCTTTTCGTATAGCATTTGTGTAGCCAGTGCACCATGTGCATCGTTGAAATGAAATCTTGTCGTTGCTCCTGCTCTCCTCCCACTCTGCCCTCCAAGTGCAACTCTCCTCTCAGCCCACAGGCAGTACCACACAACCTGGTGCCAAGACACTCTTATCCTACCTTCAACATGTTTGTTACTCGACCATGGCTCTTCGGCCGCTCTTTATTTTCTTCAGTTTCTGATTCTGCATGCATGTGCCATCTTTCATCCCAGCCCACAGACAGTGCCACCCACCCTGGTGCCAAGACGCTCTTGTCTTACCTTCAACATGTTTGTTACTCGATCATGGCTCTTCGGCCTTTCAAGGAGCCGTTATCTTTCCTTCAGCTTATTCGTCACGCGCGCACGGCCTATCATGTTCTGGTGGTACGTGAATGTGGATTCTGTTTATGTCTCTATTGGCAGGGTTGTCGCTTTTAGTCTGTTTGAATGTGAGTAGAAATCCAAACGACCCTTTCAGTGCAGCATTCAACACCTGCAGGAGAGAGCGTATGTTGATTTTCTACTTACAGACATGTAGCTCAGCTGGTGGTGGGTAGAGGTTCCGCTGTTGTGGCACCCCTTGGCTTTGTGCTTCCAAAGCCTTAGTTCTCCCTTGCTGCACACTGGTATATATTGTTTTTGCATTCCTATTGTTCGCACGTCCCTCATGCAAGTGAGCTGCGCACATTGCTCTAGGAGCGACCCTTTTTTTTCCTTGGATCTACACTTTGTTTCTTTGCAGGTTTCCGTTTTCTGCATAGCCGGCGCTACTGTCTGTGCTCTAGCAGGCCTGCACGTCTTTCATTGTATTCGAAACAAGGTCTTCACACTTGAGCCCTTCATCATGAGGCAGACAGTTAAGGAGGTTGAGCCAGAGGGGGCAGGCAACGAGCGAGGGTGGAATGGAGAGGTGGGGAGGAGGAGCAGTGAGGAGGGGAATAGTGAGGTGCATGAGTTGAAGGGTGAGTTGAAAGATGAGTTGAAGAATGTATCAGCTGCCATCTTTGCTGTTGTGGAGCGTGAGTTGGGTGAGCTGAAGTGCCGCTTGCTTAAGGTGGAGAGTGAAAATGAAGCGGCGGTAAAAGTGGCTGCAGAGCAGGCTGCTGCGGAGAAGGTGGGATCAATGGAGCGTGAGCTGGGTGAACTGAAGAAGCATTTGCTGAAGGTGGAAGGTGAAATGGAAGCCGCGGAGCAGGCAGCTGTGGAGAAGGTGAATGACTTCGCGGGGGCAGTGGAGCGTGAGTTGGGTGAGGTGAAGAAGCATTTGCTGAAGGTGGAGGGTGAACAGGCAGCTACGGTGAAAGTGGCTGCGGAAAAGGCAGATGCAGAGAAGTTGAATGAGTTGGTTGGAGCAGTGGAGCGTGATTTGGGTGAGGTCAAGGGCCGTATGATTAAGGTAGAGGGTGAAAGGGCAGATGCAGAGAAGGTGAATGATTTGGAGCAAGTGACGCGGGAGGGTTTTGCAGCAGTGAAGGGAGAAGTTGCAGCAGTGAAAGAGAAAGTAGCAGCAGTGGAAGGGGAGTTGGCTGTTCAGAAGGTTCGTCTGTTAGAATCAGAGGCAGCAAGGGATGAGGGCTTAGCAGCAGTGAAGGGAGAACTTACCTCAGTGAAAGTTGAAGTGGTAGCAATGAAGGGAGAAGTGGCAACAATGAAAGAGAAAGTAGCAGCAGTGGAAGGGGAGTTGACTAACCAGAAAGTCCGTCTGTTGCAATTGGAGGAGGAGAAGAAGGCTGCGGAAAGGGTGGCGCATGAAAGGGTGAAACGCGACGCAAAGCGGGCTCCTAATGAAGCTGCAGTGCGCAAGATATTGGAGCAGCCTGGTCCGATCACCAAGGAGCAAGTGGAGGAGTGCAGGCCTTCTTGATTCATGAGAGCGAGAAACACGCACACGACTCGTGAAGCTTGCGAAGAGGGAGTTGCATGACGCAAGCGTAGGAGTGTTGGCCGTTGTGACCGTTGTTAACCGACTCAAAACCGCGTGAAATGAGTTGAGAAGAGGCAGGCGGTGCAGAAGACGAGGGGAGCTGGGATTGGTGACTCGGTAGCGGCGAATGGCTCGTATTGTACAGACTTGTATAGCGGATGCCGACCTGAATACAAGAAAGGATGTGGCAGCGAGTTTAGGGTTTAGGGGCACATCTGTGGAGAGGATCAAGTTCAGTGCCTGTAGGGGGTGATATACCACTACGGTACTACCAGTACTAGACCTGTGGCTTGTATGGTGTATAAGGTGGGCTTGAGTTTAACGATATATGTGTTGGCAACAAATAAGGTAATCTATGAAAAGGGCTAGGGAAGGAAGTTACGGGTACAGACGCGGAAAGTAACTGGGTTGTTGTGCACGCAAGGTCTGGTCTGGATCAACCAAGTATTATTATTGTTGGGCTGAAACGCCCTAGGATTTTTGTAGTTAAAGTCTTGAGTAAATAATGTAATAGCGGAAGCGTTGAATAAAGTCCTTGAACCACCTTGCACTAGTATGTGAGGGCAAAGTAAGTTGATTAAAGCAAAGAGATACAGGAATATAAATATATGAGTACAGAGAATATGAAGAGACATTAGAACTACTTAACTATTGCGGTTCGATACAGTGCGACTCGGGCAACTGCTCAATGTCGAGTCAGTTGTGTGTCCTTGCTGTCGCGCTGCGTCAGGTCAAAGGTTGCTGACCTTTGACTTTCTCGTAACCTCTAGCGGTTACGTTAACCTCCGAGGGTTGACTCGCGATGCTTCGATTTGAGCTGCTTCACTTGTGTCTTGAGTTTCGACATGACAGAGGCGCTTAAACTATTTGTTCCCAACACTCCCCTTCGCTCCTGGAGTGTCGCTGATGGTGACGTGGCTTTGTCCAGTCAGCAGCATGCAGTATTCGAACTTCTGTTTTCCAAGCTTCTTGGTCAAGTAATCAGCTGCCATCTCGGACGTGGGACAGTAGGATAGATCGAGTTTCCCTTTCTCGATTTCGTCTTTCACAAAGAAATATCGCAGGGCGATATGCTTCGTTCTGTTCGCGAATCCGCTCTTGTTGGCGATGCGAATCGCAGATTGGTTGTCGCAGAATAGGGTGAAGTTGGGTAACTCGGCCACTTCGCTTCTTCCAACAGCTCGCGAAGGTAGAGTCCTTCCTTGGTGGCTGAGCAGAGGGCGATATATTCTGCTTCAGCTGATGAGAGAGCGATTAGTTCCTGCTTGCTCGATTGCCTGGAGATAGGTCCGATCGGTTCGAGGCGGTAGATGTAGCCAGTGCGGGAGCGCCTGTTATCTGAGTAGACGGCGTGATCGGCATCGACGTAGCCGATTAGTTTCGTCGGTGTAGTCGTGTTCGTGTGGTATGTCGGACCGATCGATGAGGTGCTCACGAAATAGTGAAGAGCGCGGTCGAGTTCCGCCAGGTGTTCTGTTTCGGCCCTTTTGAGATAGGTAGCAAGTTCGCTTGCGGAGTAGGACAGATCTGGGCGGCAGGTGACGGCTGCGAAGAGGAGGCAGCCCAGCTTTCGCTGGTAGTCGCGTATTCTGGCGGTTTTGAGTAAAGCGGAGCTTCCCTTGTCGTTCCTTGCCGTGTAGCGGTATGGCGTGGAGATAGTAGCAGGTGTGAGCGCGAAGCGTTTGGCGATAGTGTCGGCATACTTTTCGGCGCTGAGGTAGATCGCGTTCTCTTCTTCGCGAATGTTGAGTCCGAGATACTGAGTGACGGTAGAGGAGACCGTGAGTGTGAGGTCCCTCTTCAGCTCCCCTTCGAACCAGGTGGTGACGTCGTCAGTGGAGCCAATGTAGAGCAAATGGTCGACGTAGACGATCAGCAGAATATAGTCGGCGTTTTTGGTGAATCGATACATTCCTTGGTCGTGAGGTAGTTGGCGGAATCCGATGCGAGTGAGGCGGGTGTGTAGGTGCTGTTGCCACAGCCGTGGGGCCTGTTTGATTCCGTAGAGCGATTCCAGTAGCTGGCAAACCTGATTAGGTTCCCCGTGGGTACCATGTGGGAGCTCGACGAAGATTTCGGCGTCGACGGGTGCGTAGAGGAAGGCGTTAGCGACGCCGATTTGCCGTAGTTTTCTTCTCTTCATGGCGACGATCGCGAGGAGGATTCGGAGTGAAGTGTGTCGGCTAACCGGGGCGAATGTCTCGGTGAAGTCCCGTCCGGGTTCCTGATCGAATCCACGCACGACCCAACATGCTTTGAACTTCTCGATTGTGCCGTCTGCCTTCGTTTTGATGCGGAAGACCCATTTCCCGGTGAGGATGGTCTTGTTTCTTGCCACACTAACTGGAACGACTTTCCAGGTGTTCCGTTCCTCCAAAGCCTTTAATTCTCTGTCCATGGCTTCACGCCATTTCTCCCTGTGTTCCCCCCCCAGAGCCTGCTGAACCGTCGCAGGCTCTTTAGGAAGAGGATGGCCGTGGACTGCGGTGACGAGGCCGAGAATCTGCAGTCCAGTCTGTGAGTAGCGGGGAGTGTTGTGTCCTCGGGATAAGCTGCTTCATCTCTCGCTTCTGGGTCGGGTATGAAATTCGGCCCTATTCTTTCTGCTTTGTTGGTGTTGACTGTCGCAGGTGTTACATAACCATTGTCCGCGAAGTGGTAGAAGACTTCGGCGTTGGCACTTTCGCGAGGATTTTCTTCGTCCATGGGGACGTTGACGGAGCAGAACGGAAGAGGTCCGGCTTCTTCTGATGCGTTGTCGACGTTCTGCTCGTCCCAGTCTGCTTCGTCCGCTGCTGAGGCGAAGGCTCGGTCACTACGAAAGCCACCTGTGGGGTCCTGATTTTCGTGCAAGTTGGCGAGGTACGTCTGAAGCGTGAGTCGTTCGTAGAAGATCACATCACGTGTTGCTACTGTTTCCTTGGAGTGGACGTCGAAGATTTTCCACGCGTTGTAATTCTTTTCGATGCCGAGGTGTAGTCCCCACTGTGCGCGTTGTGAAAATCTTCCCGCTCGTGCCTCTGGGGGTCGGTACTGTACCATGCACCCGAAAACTTGTAACATTCTTGTACTGCCCTGTTTCCCTGTCCACGGCAGATGCGGTGATGCGTTGTTCGGGAGTGAGGACGGCGACATCAAGTTGTGCAGCATGACAGCATGGTACATTGCTGCAGGCCACTGGTGGTTGGGTAGCCGCATGCCACGTAACAGTTTGCGCATGCTGTTTTGCAGAGTCTTGTTCATTCGTTCTGCGACACCTTGCTGTTGATGGGCGTAGGGAAGGGAGAGGAGTTGCTTGATTCCTCTTTCCGCCAGGTACTGCTTGAATTGCTGAGAGGTGTATTCTCCTCCTCCGTCTGACTGGAAGCTTTTCAGCTGTGCTCCCGACTCTCTTTCTGCTACTGGTAGCCAGGCGGCGAACGCTGCGAGTGCCATGTCGCGGCTGGGTAGATTTAGATGACAGACGTATCGAGTGGCGGCGTCGATGAAGGTAATCGTGTAGTTGTAGGTAACTTGTCCTGGTTCTCAATTGAAGAGAATATCGCTGTACACCTTCTCGAGTGGTGCGTACACGGGTGCGCTCGGGTTGTGATGAGTGAACGGTCGATGAGGTAAGTCGGCTTCGGGGCAGGTAAGACAAGTCCCTCGTGCCCGTTGAAGTTCTCTGGCGTCGAGTAGTAGTAATGAGTCCTTGTCTAGGACTCCCGCTCTTATCGTGTTATTTAACACTGTGTTGCTTGGATGTCCCATTCGTGCATGCCAGATGTCTTCGGAGGCGCGATGTCCGGGTGAGCGTCGATACGCGTTGGAGTTGGAGTAGAAGCTGGCGACGAAGTTTGCGCTTCTGTGGACTTCTCGTTGAGTTGGTTTCAACTGGTGTGCAGGTGTTGGTGGTGCTTCGTTGACGAGGACTGGTGTCGTTGGTCCTGCTGCTGCTGCCGATATTGTCTCTGCTGCTGCCGATGATGTTTCTGCTGCTGCCAATGTTGTTTCTGCTGCTGCCGATGATGTTTCTTCTGCTGTTGAGTGTTGAATTGTTGCTAACGCACGTGTTCTTTCTGCTTCAGGGATGGTATGCGAGTACCAGAAGCCTTCCAGGCTAAAGCCTGGATCAAGATCCGGAGGATGTGTCCAATCGGCGAAGTTCACGATGGCGTCGCTGTCTGCAGTGCCCAGGTCTGGAACGAAGTCTAGGACGAAGACGTTGTTCTTCAAGGCCGCCTTCTTGATGTAGAGGCTGTGAGAGTTGTAGAACAGGAATGAAATGACTAAGGAAAGATTGGGTACAAATACAACCCTAGAAACCCTGTACCCCATATGTGCTACCCCACTATAGCCTACAGCAACTATGTCATATAAATGTGACAATCCCCCATAGGCAAAGTGGGGGAGAACAAGGGGTCACAAGACCAGTCAAGCAAAGCAAAGCAAAGCAAGCTCGGGGTGGATCACAAAGTCACCACACAGTCCGAGCACAAGAGCAGGGCCAGAGGCCAGCTCACATGCAGGAGTACAGACATATATATATAAAACTAGACAAGCAAGAGCAGGTATATATATATGTCACAGTACAAGTAAAGTCAAGAGGAGAGCAAGTGAGGCAAGACAGGCACAAGACCCAGCTGAGTGCAGAAGCGCTGATGGTCACAAGGCGCGAGTGCCTTGGTGAACACATCAGCAGTGTTGGCCTCAGAGGCCACGTACGCAAGCCGCAATTGTCCACGCTGCTGTAGCTCACGAGCAAGGAAGTAGCGAAGAGCAATGTGCTTCGTTCTGTGCTCCAGACGCTGCTCTCGACACAAGGCCAGCATGGCCTTGTTGTCTATGTACAGCACTGGAGGAGAACGAGGCGGCTCTCCAAGGTCAGTCAGCAGGTAGGTGAGCCAGCGAAGCTCTTGTGCAGCCATGGCCCCGGCGTAGATCTCAGCCTCACAACTGGA